CCAGCCACCACCCTCATACTTCTTTCTATGGCTGTCCAGCCACCACCCTCATACTTCTTTCTATGGCTATCCAGCCACCACCCTCATACCTCTTTCCATGGCTATCCCCACCCCCTTCCCTGTTTTTCTTCCCTTTTTTCAATTGTGCTTCAAAAACCTTGCCTTCTTTGACGCCTTTTTTTGGCTATCCAGCCAGCTATAGAGTTCCTCCACCAGCTAGAACTCTTCAATCAAGTAGCTCTTGTAGATCCCAGCTCCATGTTTCTTCTCCAGCATCTTCAGCAGATAGCCCTTTCCAGCCTTCCTGTTTCCCTTGCAGTTTGGGGCCATGCATCCTCTGCAGCCTGGCTCTCTGCGCAGCTCACTGTTCTTGTTCACATAGCTGTATTTGCTGCACCACCCACACTTTTTGAATACATGCAAGTTCTCCTCCCAGAACTTCTCCTGCACCATCCCATCTCTGAACCATGGCCCAGGTTCATCTGAGGCAGCTGGGGCCTGAGAGTCTTCCTCAGTGTCATCCTCCTCCTCCTCCTCTTCTGTCTTCTCTGGAGCCTTCTCTTCTCACCCAGTCTTCTGCTCTTCTGCAGGCTGCTTCTCTTCTTCCTTTTTCTCTGGCTCTGGAGCCTCCTTTTTCTTCTCTTCTTCATTTTTCTCTTCTCCATTCTTGCTCCTCTTGTGGCCAGAGCTGGGGGCAGGCTCATTCACCTCCATTTCCTTGTCAAACTTGTCCTCCTCCTCTCGCACTTTTGCAGTGACCTCCATGATGAACATCCCCCAGGTCCATCCAGCACCTTCCTGCATTTTCTTCTGGCTGCAGCTGTGGTAGCACCTCCTCAAAGTCATCCTGCAAGACTCCTGCAGGATTGCAGCATGGAATGAGGAATTATGGTATGAAAACAAGCTATGGCTATCCAGCCACCACCAGGAACACATGGCCTGGTGAAAAGACATATGGCTATCCAGCCACCACCAACCAGGAACACATGATTTGGTTTGAAAAAAAACATATGGCTATCCAGCCACCACCAGGGACACATGATTTGGAAAAAAACATATGGCTATCCAGCCACCACTAGGGACACATGATTTGGTTTGAAAAACATATGGCTATCCAGCCACCACCAGAAACCACACAAAAACACCCTCTTGCAGTCTCTTTGCAGGCCACCTCTGCGAAGTGCTCCTGGAAGACATTGAAGGGAACTTCTGGTGCCACCTCATAGTGTAGGGTCCTCATCCTCTCTCTGAAGGCATTGCTGTGGACACCACCCTGGCTCTGGTTGTAGGGCTTGGGCTGAGTTTCCTTTGAGAACCCACCACCACCCTTAACACTTGAGGCTGCTGGGCTTGCAGCTCCACTTCCTGGTTGACCTCCTCCCTTCTTGCCACCCCAGCCAGTGGCCTTTTCTGCCTTGCCACCCTTGCCACCCTTGCCAACCTGTTCACCACTTCCCTTGCCAGCCTCTTCTCCCTTCTCTCCCTCGCCCTTCTCTCCCTGGCCAGTTCCCTTGCCACCCTCTTCTCCCTTCTCTCCCTTCCCCTTCTCTCCCTGGCCAGTTCCCTTGCCACCCTCTTCTCCCTTGCCCTTCTCTCCCTTGCCACCCTTCTCTCTCATCAGTTCTGCCTGCTTCTTCTTGAAGTCCTACTGCTGCCAGTCTGCCCACCACTTGTTCCAGATCTCCCAGTGCTGGGCCCTTCTGGAAGGACAGGCTGTGGAACCACCCATCCTTGTCCAGCACGCCAGCTGACATCCCAGGTTCTCCCTGCCATGGCTGCACTTCAGGTTGAGCTAGCTTGGTCTAGAGCTTTGAGTCGCTGCAGCCATTCAGAAAGTGAAAAGCAGCTGCTTGCATGGCTTTCCAGCCGTCGTTCTCCAGCTTGTCCTTCTTCTTGTCCTTGACCACCACCTTCTTGTTCTTGTCAGGGGAGCCTGCAGGCCTCTTCATGCTGGCAGCTGGCTTCTTGAAGGTGTTCATGTTCTCCTTCAAGTTTTTCTTTCTGCAAGGCACTGGTGATGCCTGCAGTGCTTCATCCTTCAGTCCATGAGGTGTCTTTGGTGGCTGCAGGTCAAGCAGCTCCTGAGTGCGCACAGACTCCTCATACTCTCTTTTCTCTTTTTTGGTGGATAGAGGCTCCACTCTCTGTTCTCTCAGGTGTAGCTTCATTTTTCTCAGCAATGCCCACCCTCCTCGACTCATCTAGCTTTCTAACCTGCCAGTCTGAGAGCCCTCTGCAAGCCTCCTGGAAGTTCATCTCTGAATTAGTCAGCCTTCTCATGTGTGTGCACATGGTCATGCAAGCCTCTGCTAGCTTCCCTGACAGCACAGGTCTCATCTCTACAGGAAAGGACATCTTCAGTTGAGGGAAATCTTTGCAGACCTGGCCAAAACATTCTTTCAAATCCTCGTAGTTGAAGAGGAGGGTGTCATTGAGGCCCATGAGCTTCTGGATGAGGTGGCTTTGAGCAACCAGAGCTGCACCATTTGCTGCCTGACTCTTTGCCATGTTGTGGTACTCTTTCAGTTGAAAGGCTTCAGACACCCCCACAGTTCTCACCTCTTCCAACACACAGCCAGGCGCCTCTTGCAGTGCCTCCCGTATATTGACCAAATTAGGTCGCTGGTGCTCGACCTGCGACGCCTCCGAGACGAATGGGAGGACACCACCACACAGTGGCTCCAGACAGCGTGTACACTGCCAATCACGCACAGCCCACTACGCAAGTGCCTCTGTTATGCCACCTTGCTCAGGAAGCTCCAGTACCCAGAGATGGACAACTTGAGCCACGAGCTTCACAATGGATTCCGGCTCCTGGGGAAGCTGCCGGTTGGTGCGGGGTGGACACATCGCCACGACCACCGATACAGCGACCCCACCCCGATGGAGCAGTTCATGGAAGACAATCGACACCACATCTTCCAAAAACTCAAGGATCACAAGGTCGACCCGAACTGGGACTCCATGCTCCAGGAGTTACTCACGGAGCGGGGCCAGGGCAAGATCATTGGTCCTTTCCAAGCCTTTACCGATTGGCCCAATCAGTGCACTAACGTCCCTAGCCGGGCGGACATCTCCCTCCTACCCAACCAGTGGCAGCACTGCCCAACGGCCGTATGCTTTTCGGTCGTGCAGGCTGACAAGATCCGGCGGTGCGAGGATTTCCGCCGAGGCGCCCACAACAGCACAGTCGGGGCCACCTCGAAGCCTACGCCAGCATGGCAGCGTGGTTCATGGAACAGGGACACCCCCCACACATATGGGCACACGACCTCCAGTCTGCCTACTGCCAGTTTCCCATTGCCGAACCCTGGCAAGGCTTCACCCTGTTGTTCACACCACAGGGACCCACCTTGTGGCAACACCAGGCTCTGATGTTCGGAGCTACCGCGTCAGTATGGGGATTCAACCGGGCTGCCGACGCAGCAGCCCATTTGACCAGACAACTCCTCCTGACATGCACTATGCCACTATGCACTATGTAGACGACTTCTGGGGAGTCGAACCCAACACGCACAGCACCTCCGGTTTTGAGGCGTTCACCGAATTTTCGGGGCTACGGATGAAACCCAACAAGGCCCAACCCCGGCAGACCACCAGGAACTATTAGGAGTCGAAATCGTGGTGCAGGGGTCTGAGATCCAGCTGCGACCCACGCAAGCCCGCAAGGACAAAATCCAAGGTGAAGTCCACAGGGTCCAGGCCCAAGGAACCCTGTCACCAGCCGAAGCCAGCCGTTTGGCCGGCAAGATGATTTTACTCAACGCAACAGTGTTCGGCCGAGTCGGAGCCGCCGCGCTACGGCCTTTGTATGTGAGAGCAAAGGCCAAAGGAGGACGCCCCAAAGGCGACGCATTTGCCATCACACCCGCCATCGCCGCGGCCCTCAGGACTATAGTGCACATACTCGGCCACGCCGAACACCAGCGCATCCCAGTAGGCCCTTCTATAGGGCCACTCTGGACGCCTTTTACAAACAGGGCGAACAGTGGCACACGGAGCGGGCCTCCACACGGCTGGGGCTTTGTTGCCCGCATACACGACCTGACGTACTACGGACAGGGATCCGTGCCGCCACCACTTCTCCAGAAGTTGACCACTCGCAAAGCCTTCATATACTTCTTGGAGATTTACGCACAGGTCATCATGGCAGCTGCCCTTGCTCCGATCCTCCCGACTGAATGGATTGGATTCATTGACAACCAGGCAGGACACTCAGCACTGGTTAAAGGGTGTGGATCCGACGATAGGATCAATCTCCTGTTGGAGTGTTTTTGGAAGTTTGCAGCCACAAGAAGGTGGCGGCCTCATTTCGAATGGGTCCCGAGTCATAGCAACATCTCGGACCCGATTTCTCGGGTAGATTTCACGCTGGCGGTGCAGCGCGACTGGTTGCACGTACCGATCGACGAATCGCCACTACATCGTCTGTTGAGTAGTAGACAGACAGACCTTGAGGCTGCCCACCTGAAAGGCGCACAGGTCTTGGAAGCTCTGGCCTCTCCCCGGTGCGGAGTGGTGAACTCCCGGGCGGACTGGGTAAGAGTTCGCGCGCCTGAGACCAGAGAGGACACGACCAAACCTCAGACGACAGAAAAGGTGCGCTATAGCTGCATGATAGGGTTGAGCTTGCAGCGATGTTGTGTAGTACAACTTGTTGTATGCAGGAACACGAGCGGAACAGCGACCAACCGGAGCTGTTCTGGGTTCAAGTTGCGCCCACCACTCCACTCCCTTCCATCATTCGATGGTCAAGCTCGAGTCCTCCGACTACACGACACTCCGAACTACCCTGAGCGGGTTTCACGGCTTTTTACCGTTTAGTTCCGAGCCCGTTCCTGGCTCTTAATTCTCTCATTTCACCACATAGTGGTCTTTCTTATCGAGAGACCCCTCGCCTTAAGAAGTCAGGTTGTTAACTTGACTTTGGGAGATAATGAGGGTCTACCGCGAAACTTTTGCATGACCCTTATTGTATAGGTCTAAGCTATTCTCGATTGTCTCTGCCTCGGTGCGGACTGGGTAAGAGTTCGCGCGCCTGAGACCAGAGAGGACATGACCAAACCTCAGACGACAGAAAAGGTGCGCTATAGCTGCATGTATAGGGTTGAGCTTGCAGCGATGTTTGTCCCTATTTTGTGATACTCTGGCATGTTCTGGCTCATGTTAGCTAGACGTAGGACCGTGCTTCGCGATGAGGCCGCGAAAGATCCGCGAAAGACATCTTTTTCTCCGCAAAGAATGGCCATTCCAGGATGAAAGAATATTGATCAACCACCACACATATATATATATAATATTTATTATTGATAAAAATATTAAAAAAACTTGTAAGATTCCAGCCTTTCCACGCTTTCTGCAGGTGTATTCCCGCGTAGCCAGAATTCTCATTGCGGTGAACCCGTTCCAGAATTTGCTCAAACCTCAAATGCAACAGCTGAGTAGCAGTTCATGAAAGCTCTGACTTAGCTGCCTGGAAGACACTGAATGTAGGTTGGGGAGGTTGCTACTGGTGGTGAGGTGGGGCACACACTGATGAAAGTCCAATTTTCATCACTGAGGCCAATCTATGGTGCACAGTACTTGCAAAGATACAGGCAAGGCCCAGGTCAAATTCATTCAAGCTTTCATGATCCCTGTCCCGTCATATGTTGGGGTTTGTGAAATCGTGATGAAGCTTCTGTTGTTTGTATTTTTATGGTTGGTAATATGTTGGTATCTCGGAGATTTGTCAGGAAGGTTGAATCGAAACCAATTTCAGGGGACTTCGCAAACATAGGAAGCCTGTGTTGCAATTGAGTATGGCGCAGGTCCTCCGCAGATTCAATGGTTTTCGCCTTGGCGATTGAGAGTGCAACGACTCAACACTCAATTCACTGAAGCTTTGACAGTTGTCCTACTAATGTTCGATTCAGGTCGCAAAATGCGCAGTTTTGTTTTTTTCGAAAAACCAGCCACTTGCAGCCACTCGAGTGGCTGCAAGTGGCCGCAAGTGGCCGCAAGCGATCGCTTGAGCAAGCGAGCGCATGCGGTTCATTTGCTCTGATACCACTTTTTCGCTAGTGTTCATGGTGGAGCTTCACAGCTTCAAAGCTTCAAGCGAAGACGCGGAGATTCAGAGATTCAGACCTTCAAAGCCGAAGACACAGACCTGCAACCTAACCAAGTCACCCTTGGAGACAAACGCACCAGACTAAGAGCCACTACACTGGAAAACATCCAGCATTTTCCACACGGAGCAGCGGAACATAGCATACGTTTTCCACCACCCGGAAAGCCAGCAGGTCGAGATAAATGGCGGTAGATTTTTGCGGTCACTTGCAGCCGCTTGCAGCCACTCCAGTGACCGCAAGTGACCGCTCGGGCCGAAATCAAATCGCACGTCATATGCACGCTCTTTCCCATTTCCGTGCCAATATCCAGCACCGCTTGCCAAGGAGTTGCCTCCACATATGCTGCCAGCTTAGCACCAAGCAACACGGGCAGATATTATATATAAGTGTACTGGTCGCGACGTGTTGGCGCCCAAATTTGTGGTTTTTCTTTTGCTCAGAGCTCAGATATGCTGTTGGGCTTGATGCGGTCAACGGCCTCAGAAGAATCCTGGCAAAAATGGTCCATTTAAGAATGGTAATGTACTGCAGCATTTTGATTCATACCGTTCATGTATGTAGTTTCTTGTTTTGCTTTCAGCATCAAACCAATTTCAGCCACTGGTTGGGGATTAGGAAGGATTGACATGCGGGATACATAGGGGCAGCCGCAGAAGATGGTGGGTTTGGGCAGATTGTAGCAGAGCAATTCGCTTATTGTCAGGAGGAGATGGGAAGAATCAGGCCCAGCAGCGACATTTAGACCTTGTGTTGGCATTTGATGTGATGTCCATACTTTACCCTAGCCTTCTCAAGTGACACGAGCGGCCGAAAGAGGAACACATGGGAAGACAACTGAGAAATACACCAGATAGGGAAGGAGGCAAAGGCCCAAATGGGCATAGAAGGAAGAATCAGGAATGACGGGGATTTAGTCTTGAACTACTGTAGATTGCACGCACCAAGGCACATGCAAACATATGACATATGCGCATTATCTCACACATTTGAGAAACACCACACGTATACACACGTACTATACAGTATAGTATTCTGATGGAATGTCATGTACATTGGCCTACCAAAGGACACCTTCACGTTGAGTAGAAGAGAGTGCCAGGCTGTTCTCATCAGCGGTGAGTCTGGGGCAGGCACGCCGTGCAACTTAAACATGACCCACGTAGTTCGACCAAGATCCGCAGCTGGCAGGAAAAACGGAGTCCACCAAGCTCGTGTTGTCATTCATTTCAGAGGCCAATTCTATAACAATGTCTTGAGAGCCAGCTAGGCAGCTTTTGAAAGCCTTATCTGCAAGGCTTTCAGCGGAGCTGACTCGGGTCCTGGCATTCAGGAGATGTTTGGCACTTGTTAGGTTGCAGTATCCGTGCTCAGCAAATTTGTTGAGTGCATATTTGGAATACTGCAATATGGAATCGAGTCATGATGCGCTACACAAGATAAACCATGCTAGATTCGCAGCAGCTGCGGGCTGGTACCAATGACCCCCATGAAACCTCAACCATTTCTCTTGCTAGCCAGCTTCGTGCCAGCATGAATGAAAGATGAAGGTCCATGGTGGCCACCCCAATGATAGCGACTCCAAAAGCCCTTATAAAAGTATATATATCATGTGAAATTCCATCCGGAATCCATAGGTGCTGATATCATCGACATGCGATCGGTGGTGTCGGCTCGAGAGTGGGTGGGTCACGCTCGAGCTACTGGCAACGCCATGGAAAACTGTGCGTGTTGACGCTGCACTGTTGTTTGGTGGTTGGGCGGACTTCGAGGGCCGTCATTGAGAGTTGGTTTGGTTACATTGTGTTGTTGACACTTTGTTGCAGCTACCCTCAACTCTTGTTGTTGGTAGCGGAGCCCGCAAGGGCTACCGCAGGGGCTGAGTGTTCATGGCTCCCAAGCAGGTGCAAGCAAATGGTCCAGGGAATCCTTCAGGGTCTGCAGGACAAGCTGTTCCTACCGGAGTGAGCACTGCGAAACTAGACAACTATGTTCCAGTGTTTAGCAACGCTATGCAGGACTATCGTGAGTTCAGGAAAAGATGTGAGATTTACAGAAAGAAGATGCAAATCGGCAATCGGCAGTCGGAAGTTGTTTACAACCTGGTTACATTGATGAGTGGAAAATCATGGGATCTTGTTGAAGACATGACAATGGACCAGATGGCTGCCGACAATGCCTATGACCTCTTGTTCGAACGACTCGATCGAGGATTCAAATATGATCCTTTGACAGAGTTGCCCGACGACTTTGAGCAGTATTTCGTTCGACTGCAGAGGAAACCCCATCAGACCTTGCAGGACTACATGAATGACTACACCCGCTGTGAACGACGGCTTCAAATGACGCATTCAGTCAACCTTCCTGAAAAGGTCAGGGCATGGTGGTTTTTGAGGAGGTCAGGGATTACAAAGGAGCAACGTCAGCTGATATTGACCAATACTGGTACAGGTGGATTGACAATTGAGGAGGTGATGAAGTCCATGAGCTTTATCCTTGGGCAGGACTCGACATTGCAATCCACATCATCATCCAGATGGTCACGGCCGCCAGGAAAACCAGTCGACACCTACTACTGTGATGAAGACCAGACATACGACTGGGCAGCTGGATCCGATGAAGTGGTGATGGATCCCTCCCCAGCGTATTATGGTGAGGATTATGACTGGGATGATTGGCAAGACGGCGCAACAGAGTGTGCAGAAGACATTGCTTTTGTTGATCATTGTGAACAGGTGTACGATGTTGATGAGTTTGATGATGTGTTTGCAAACTATCAAGATGCAAAAGCAAAGATGAACGCACTTCGCAATTCCCGTGGATTCTATCCTGTTGTTGCTATGTTGCCGCCTCACGTGTCAGGACAATCTCAAGGAGGACAACCTCGTGGCAAGAGCAGTGGCAAATCCAAGTCGAAGAGCAAAGGCCGATCCAGTTCAAAGGGCGGCAAAGCAGGACCAAAAGCAAGAGCAGCAGCGGCTATGGGAGGAGGAGCTGGACGACAACTCTGTCTTCGCTGTGGAAACGCCGGTCATTGGGCTCGCAATTGCCCAATGCCACCCGGTGACAAGAAGCGCAAGATTGGAGAAGAAGCTGAAGGTTCCATAAACATGGTCGAAGAAGTGAATGCTGCCGCAGAGGCCTTTCACATTGATGCAGATGAGAATGACTTTGTTGGAGATGATACAGCAGTGCAGGACGGAGGTGCAGCATCAGTTCTCGGAAGCGCATGGCAGATCAGAAAGTATCTCCGTTTCTTGTTGGAAGAAGGCTTCAACATTCACGACATTCCAATGTTTCAGTGCGAGAAGGGATTCAAATACGGCAACAGCATGAAGGAGACAACAAACAAGTGCATTGTGTTGCCCATTTTTCTGGGTGGCAAACGCATTGATGTGTTGACATATGTGATCAAGGGCACCGCACCGATCCTCGTTGGTCGACCGTTGCTTGAACAGTTGGGCCTACAGTGGACTATCAAAAGAAGATGATGAAATGGCCCGAAAGCAATTGGGAGGACCTGCCAGTGGGATCCCGTGGTGAGCACTTGCTTCACTTGGGCAAAGACATTCGTCAGTGCCTTGCAGATGAACCGCATCAAGTGCTGCTCCCAGAGGACACCGAATCTCATGTCGGAGAACATATCGATGGAGGCATTCAGCAGTTGTTGGATGAGGTGATGGTTGCAGAAGACACGTTGGACGTGTCTCAGCCTCGGCAGTCAGTCTTGCCGGCTACCACGCGTCAGTCAGACGGAAAAGATGAGCAGGAGATCGGAGCGGTCAAAAGACTTCATGGTCATGTCCTACGAAAGCTGCAGCGACAAGCAGAGGAGGCATGCAGAGTGGAGGACAAGATGCTTCAACAGGGGCAATCCATTGACAATGCAAGTGTCATGTGATGTGGGAGGTCTTTGTTGGAAAGGGTCGGACGACCAAATACCTCAGCAAGTATCCCCATGTGCAGACAGAGATCTTCTCGCTCCAGACCGGTTGGGACTTTCGAATCGGGTCTCACCGTTCCAGATTCCTTCAGCGACTTCGAGAAGAAGAACCAGATGAGTTGATGATGTCACCTATGTGTCGCCTCTGGTCACCAATTCAAGAATTGAACATAGCGAAGTCGCAAAGCTACAAGAACAAGATTGCTGAGGACAGGCAGTACAATCATGACACCATCCTGACCATGTGCTCGGTTGCATTTCAGGAGCAATACCGAGGTGGGAGACAAGCCACGCTGGAACACCCCTGGCTTAGTCGTGCATGGAACACACGTGCATTTGCGCGCTTGGAAGAGATCAGCTATGACACCTATGTTGATCAGTGCATGTATGGTCTGAAGATTCCAGATCACGCTGGTCATGAACAGTTGGCTCACAAACCCACATGTTTCCGCACGACAAAGGCAAGTCTCGCCGAAGGTCTAACATGGTCTTGTGATGGTAGCCACAGCCACATTCCCATCGAAGGCAATGCACCAGGCGGCAAAAGTCGAAGCTCTATGGCTGAAGACTATCCAGAACGACTGGCAAAGAAGTTGGCACAACTGATGCAAGCAGATCCCGATGAAACCCCAGTCCTTGCAGCAGAAGATGAAGATGTCGACATGCCAGAAGTACCACAACCCCTGGTTCAGCAAAGTGAGAAACAAGATCTACTTCCCAAATGATGACCCCATTACCAGCAATGCGCAGCTTCGTCGACAGGTTGGCAAAGCAGCAATGAACTATGTGGTCAGATTGCATCGCAACTTGGGCCATCCAGGATCCAATGTTCTTTGCAAGATGCTTGAAGAGGTTCAGGCCACCGAGAATGTCATGACAGCAGCTCGAGGTTACGTTTGTCCAGGATGTTTCATTCGCCAAGGTCCAGCAGGCGTACCACCGGCATCGGGCTTGACGGCTCGTGTCTTTGGCGAGAGACTCATGGCTGACGCGGCATGGATTGACACGGACGATGGTCGTGTTTGTGTCATGACATTGATGGATCAGGCCACCAGGTACATCGCCATCCGCATCATGAAGAGTGAACAATCCACAGACCTGGTGAAAGGCATTGAACGAAGCTGGATCAAACACTTCTCCGGGCCCAAGTACCTTCGTGTTGATGAGGGTAAAGGTTTTGCAGCAAGGTATCTTCGTGACTGGTGCTCTGAAAGAAATGTGATTTTGGAGGTCGCGCCAGCTGAAAGTCACAACTGGATTGGATCCATTGAACGAAAACATCAAGTTGTGAGGAAAAGCCTTGAACTGTACACGCAGGAGCGTGGGAGAAGGGACAAGAAGACATTAGTTGAAGCAGCAGTGTACTGCCCTGGCCAAATCAATGGTTCACACCATCACAATGGGTGCTTGGCAGGTCAGCAGCAGATACATACAGTTTGACATCCGCAGTCTTCAATCCAAGTCTGTCTCCTATGAAAGATCCACTTGATTTCAATCAGATTCAGGCAAAGCGGTTGGCAGCTCAGATGGCATTCCTCAAGGCAGATTCAGATGCTCGTCTTCGCAGAGCAATGCAGCAGAATTTCAAAAGCACCAAGCATCACATTGTTGTCGGACAGATGTGCTACTATTGGAGGATTCAACGGTCTGGCATACTCCAAAAGAACAAGTGGCGGGGACCAGCAAGGTGCGTCGCAGAAGAGAAAGATGATGAAGGAAAGCAATTGGTGTTGTGGCTATGTCATGGCACTTCATTGATTCGTTGCTCGCCCCATCAAGTTCGACCACTTGTCAAAGATGCAGGACTACACAAACCAGTTGATGCCCATGCTGCATTGGAAGATTTGAAAGAGCTGCGAGCAAGGAGCGCGACCCAATTCAGAGATGTGGTCCAGCCTGAGGAGTACGAGCTTGAAGATCTGATGAATGATGAAAATGAAGAATATGAACCTACCGAACCACCGTCAGATCAAGAAGCACGAGATGATGCAATACCAGAAGATGAAATTCCTGGCGCAGTCCTCATGTACCAGAACAGACGAAGTGAAGAGATGAACCAAAGACCAAACTCTTCCGCTTCACCATCTACAGAAGTTCCAGAATGTCCTTCAATTGCTGGAGATGATCAAGAAATGAAGAGAGAGATGGAAGATGATATCCAAGAGTCAGCATTGAAGCGTGCGAGAAAGGCAGCCGACATACCAGTACCTGACGATGATGATTTGTACATTGATGATGCATTCATTGTTGAAGCTCAGTCGGGTACAAGTCCTTCAGGTTGGCGGCTCATTGATGGAAACTTCGAATTGGATGAGGCATTCTTAGCTGAAGTGAGTGAAGGTCACATGACATTGGCTGAGAAAGAAGAGATGATCAAAGCAAAACAGAAGGAGCTGATGCAATACTTTGAAAACAAAGTTTGGGAGTTCACCGAACTTGGCAAGCGCCACACCAACCGAGTCATTTCCGCAAGATGGGTGCTTGTATGGAAACCACCGGCTGAAGGAGAGTACGTGCAAAAGCACGTTTGGTTCTTCGAGGCTATGAGGATCCAGACTACCTCAGTCTTGAAAAGAACAGTCCCACTGCAAACAAAACGCCCAAGATGCTTTTGTTGGCCCTCACGCCAATTTTGGGATGGACAATATTTTGTGGTGACGTTCGTGCTGCATTCCTTTCAGGAGCCACCTTCAGCAGGGAGATTATCGTCAAGCTGCCAGCAGACTGCAGTGCCATGCTAGGCAGCAAAGGACCCACACACATGAAGATGAGGAAGAGTGCATACGGCTTGTGTGATGCTCCCTTGTTGTGGTGGACCGAAGCAGATAGACGCCTTCGCAACCTTGGTCTGAAGCGGCATCGATTATGCAAGTGCACATACATGTCATACAATTCTTCCATGCAGTTGGTTGGGTTGATCATTGTGCACGTTGATGATTTGTTGATGGGGTTCAACATGAATGATCATGATGCTGACAAGACCATCCAGAAGATCGAAGGTGCATTTGATTTCGGCAAGTGGCAAGAACTCAAAGAAAAAGAAGACATCATTTACTGTGGTGTCCGAATTTCGAAACAGGGTGAAAAGGTCAGTCTCGACTTTGAGGACTACATGAAGAAGGTCATGCCCGTGACCATCCACAAAGGTCGAGGACCGAATGATGCTCTCACCGCTGGAGAAGTATCAAAAGCCCGTGCTTTGATAGGTGCATTACAGTGGCCAGCAGGTCAAGGATGTCCTTTCTTGAGCGCATCAACATCATTGACTGCAGCGAACATCAACAAAGCAACAATTCAGCTTTTGACTGACTTGAACAAAACATTGAGGTTTGGCAAGCAAGCAGCAGATTTCAAGCTCAACATGTCCGCAGCGTGCTCAGGTCTTGACGACCTTTGTTTGTTGTGCTTTTCAGATGCTGCATTCAATGTCAGAAGCGATGGTAGCAGTCAGGGTGGATACATTGTTGTGTTGACATCGCAGAAAGCATTGTCTGGTCAGCAGGTTCCATACAATGTGCTCAGTTGGCGATCCTTCAAACTCATTCGAGTTTGTCGGTCAAGTCTGAGTGCAGAGAGTCAAGCGTGCTCGACAGCGCTTGACGAGCTGATGATGGTGAGGTCAATGCTTGCAATGATGTTGAATCCACAGCTTGATCCGATGGCAGAAGCTACAGCAGCAGATTGTGGCAAGTCGGCCATCATCATTGATGCCAAGGCCCTTTACGACAGTTTGAAGAAGGACGGCATTGGCAGCTCAGCTGACAAACGTGCTGGAATAGAGATCTTGTGCATCAAGGAGGAGATCAAAAGGCTCAAGACAGAGCTCAGGTGGGTATCCAGTGAACGGATGCTCGCAGACGGGCTCACCAAGATCCATGCCCGACAGCAGATGACAGAAATGTTGAAAAGTGGTTGGCTCAGCATTGTTCATGATGAAAGCTACACAGCAGCCAAAAAGAAGAACAAGGAGGAACGACAGGCATCCACAGCAAACACCTTTGGATACACGAACCAAGTGGCAGCAAGGATTTCGATGGTTGTTGCATTGAATCATGTTGCAGAGGCCACGACAATGGACAACACACAAACTGAAGGTGAAGAGTTGGGTGTAGTTGAATCCGCTTTCTTCAACTATGCTTTCTTTGTGACAGCATTGTCATTGTTGTTGGGAGTGCCTATGGTGGCATATGGGATCTACAAGTGCATGTGCAGGTTGTTTCAGTTCATCAAGTATCTGTACTATCAGGAAAGGTTGATCACCATGCTACGCTTGGAAAACCTGGAACTGAAAGAAGAAGCAGAGAATTCCCGAAAAGAGCTGGCACGACTCCGAACTCGCCTCGTGAGGATGCGAGTGGGCTTGTGTTTCTACACCGAAGGTGGAACACGGTGGCATGTCTTTAATGATTGCCGCAGCTTTCGTGCTAGTTCAAGGGTGTTGAACAAAGATGGCTTATGTCGAGTGTGCTGGGAACGATTGCAAGATGAAACAGCTGGAGAGGTGAGAACCCCACCGCATGGCTGGAATGAAGACACCGACGCCATCGATGAAGAAACAGATTGAATTTGATTTTTGTGAATTTGAATTTCAAGTGAGTGTGACGGCAAGAGCCCTCTTTCCCCTATGTGAAATTCCATCCGGAATCCATAGGTGCTGATATCATCGACATGCAATCGGTGGTGTCGGCTCGAGAGTGGGTGGGTCACGCTCGAGCTACTGGCAACGCCATGGAAAACGGTGCGTGTTGACGTTGCACTGTTGTTTGGTGGTTGGGCGGACTTCGAGGGCCGTCATTGAGAGTTGGTTTGGTTACATTGTGTTGTTGACACTTTGTTGCAGCTACCCTCAACTCTTGTTGTATCATATATACCTAAAAGAGGTGAATAAAAAACATAGGGCAAGAGGCCCTTGAATAAAGTCCCTTAAAGGGGCCTGGCCCTCACCTATTTTATCATTAAAGAACACATAAATATAATCTACAATTATACACATATACATACCGCTTTGCTCACCGCCAACTTTTACAAAGCTGTGCTTGACAAAAGCACGGGACAAACCTTCGCCAGCGGTTGCAACGACGTCCACGACAGCAACTGCATGCACCAAGCTCTATCTGCGAGTGCAACGAATGACCAACTCCCTGGCACCAGGCTAACTCCAAAAAACAACTCACAGGCACTGTCCAAATCGATTTACAATGCATCCCGATCTGGAGGACACGCCTTCCATGACAAGCTCGGTATAGATGTCCCAGCTGCAGTCAAAGCCAAATCCACATCCAGAAGACAATCTCCAAGACTCCCTGAAGAAGGTTCGTGGAGGAACTTGGCAGATTGCATGAGCTGATCTACCCCTGCCCTTGACGTGACTTCAGGCCATAGCCATTGGCCTGAGCCTCTCGTGCCAGGGAAAATTGAACAAACAAGCTTAGCGATCATGCAAGGTGCAGGGAGACAACCATAGCACACCTAAATTGGTTTGCGTGGGCACGCAAGAAACCAGTCATGAAACCCTCGCCCAAAGAAGGGACTTTCTTCGTTTTGTAAACGAATCCTTGATGAGTTCCTATGGTATTTTTTTTTGTTGACATGTTTTGACATGTTTTGTCTTCTTATTGATTGACTCCTCATGTCTTCCGGTTTGGTCTTTCCGATCGTCCTGTAGCTACTCTCGCTGTATGAGTGAGACCGCTAAAAAGTGTTCCTTTGTGTTTTTGTCCCTCTGGCCTGAACTCGTGGCGTAAGATTGGTGGGTTTTGTAATAGCATGCCTTGGCATGGCGCGATTGTCGCGTTTTACGAAACAAATCAATACAAATTCAACATTATATATATATATATGCTGATGCACTTTTAAAGAGTTGTTTTTTTGTATTGTTTCTCAGAAGCTACCATGAGTACTTGACAGACAGGGTGACAGGGTTTCAGGGTTTCTCCATTCCGCAAGAAGCTGTTGAGGACAAGATCATGCAGACCAACCCAGTGCTTGAGTCCTTCGGGAATGCGATGACAGCCCGCAGCCTTGTTGCCACTGTGAGCTGTCTGTTACGCACTGTTTGCCCGTAGAAAAAACCATGTCAGGTATGTGACTTCAGACTGCATTCGCCGAGGTTAGGAACAATAACTCCTCACGTTTTGGGAAGTGGCGCAGTTCTGAGATGTCCTTTCTCCTCACTCTTGGTTGTCACGAGCCTGCCTTCCGGTGATTCTTTGGCGCACTCCCCCATCGTCGCGGATATATACATTATATACACTATACAAATCCTTCTGCATGGTGAGCAGCAACTCTTGAGTAGCACTGGCTCTTCAACAAGTGAAGGATCTGTAACAACATTTCTCCAGGTTGCAAATGACTGTCTCGCCATCACTCTCAATTGAAAGCTGTACAGCCTGGATCTCAGCATGTCGCACAGCTTTGGCTTTCCATAATGGGTCATTGGCCCACCAGTCGCATCATACTTGTACATCTACATTTGCGTTCGACTAAAAATTAGTGCATTTCATTCTTAGCCTTTTGCTTATCTAACATGTTCAGACTCAAATTTATCTTCATGTTTGAAGGTCACGGACTACCTGCTAGAGTTGACTCGTGTTTGCAGTCAAGGAAGCAAAGAGAGGCCCGGATCATGTTCATCTACAGTAATTTGATTTCGGAACATGTTCAAAAGGCACTCCAGCCATCTCCAGAACCACTTGTCAATGAAATGATGGATGTCAAGGCTTGATATAAAATACAAAGGTCATGACGGGTCCAAAATTGCCCCTTGTCGTTAACAACAATGTGAGGTCAACTCGCATATATGTGGCAGGTTTGTCATGAACAGGACTGGCAGGCACACATGGCTAAAGACGCGCAGCAATGCCTTCCAGAAGTTGGAAATCTATTCAGAAGGAACACTGACACGCACACGCACACACAGCAAGGGACTCCAAGCCTCCTGCGAACGAAACGCTTGAACAATAACACGGTGGGAACTCAGCACAACTCAGTGGCAGATGGGAATCCATTTGTATCTCTCAACTACATCAGAGCATGTTGCAAGAAGGCCAAGGACAACAGATGGTTCAGTTGAGTTGTATGAAAAACGGCTTTTGTGAAACTACAGGCCTAGTTCATGCAGTTTCAGCACATGTTACATTCTGTGGCAGGAACTATCACATCTTCTTTCAGCTGATTGATGCTCGTCAAAGCGACGAGCTAAAGAGCAGGTTTCTCAGTAGTATGAGCCGACACGAGCAACTGATGATTGAATTTTGGAAGTCCGAGTACAACATGCAGAATTGAATACAGGATTGGCTGTTGTAGTATTTACCTTGGTATTTTGTATTTATGCTAAGGCCTTGGAATCATGGAGGCGAAGGCCTGGTTTTTAGAGAGGTGCTTGAAGCTAGTGTGATATGGAACCACATCGTGCAGGACTACGCATACTTGAAGAATTGCTTGGCCAAGGCCGCTGAATCACCATTCAAAGTTCAAATTGTTGGCTATCTCCTTGATGGACTTAGTGTTTTGATGGACGGGTGACGGGATGCCGATGTTGGGCTTAGGTGTCGACACGCTGTAGGGCTCACGTGAATCTCGGCCGGACCCTGCACCAATGTACATGTCCCTCTAAAGGGTGCACATCTTCAGCCGATACTATTTGGTTGTGGGTCAAAGCCTGGAACCCAGGAGTCCATTCTGTCTATGTTGATGGGTCAACTGCTTCTAACGTTTCAGGCCCCTCTTCTGTACACAATGAGGATTTCTTTATGAGGACTTGAATGCCTAATGTCTAGCTAGAATGCCCAAGCCGTTGGATGTGGCTGGAAGTTTCTAGAAGCTACTTGTATACGAATGGTATACCCACTCGACCCAGTCGACCTTTACTGTATATTATCAGTTCGGCTTGGAAGCAGGACAAGCAAGCAAACGAAGCAAAAGGAAAGAGAACGCGGTTGTATTGCTTTCACCACACCCAATAAGCCTACTGCATGGGGCAGGCGCCAGGCATTGACGACAGCCGCTTCTTCGAAGAGCTGAAAGATGCCTTTCAGGGGCTTGATGCTCAGTGGTAGGAACTGTTGTTGTGGAAGTCCGTTGTTCTTCAGCTTTTAGAATGCCAAGAGTTGAGGTTGGGCATTGGCCCCAAGCTTCAGTTGGAGGCAGTTGAATCCTTTGGTTCCTCCAATCTGCTGGAGGTCATATACATGGATAGCCACAACGGTTGCCCGACCGACTCCATAGGTCTTCAGCATCGTGGCTGGCCTCCTTTTAATGGGGAATGTGGAGTTCGCTGAGGCTCCAAGCATCGGTAAAACTGTAAAACACACATGTGAAAAAAAAGAGAGGAAACACAAGAAGTCAAGGGCCCCTTGAATAATATGGGCTCCTTTGACCTTATTAAAGGGGCCTTTACCTTCTTTATGTTGTTTCTCAAAGCTGCTGGAGGTAGTCGACTCGGTCGGCCCAGGAAGACAGGGGATTTGCACAGTGCAATTTTCAAGTGACAATTCGCAAGTTTCAGAAACTTGCACGGTTGAAATTTCATGGTATAATAATGACTTGCAATCTTCGTGCTGCAGTACAGACGCCACACCATAAAGCAACAGGGAAAGGAGGAGTTGGTGCACCAAGTTATGCTTCAGATAATTGCAGTGTCAATGTGTTGGAAGCATGGCCTTGGAGTCAGGACTTCGGTCTTTGCAAGACTCTCATGCAGAGATTGAAGGATATCGGATTCGGATTTTTGTACGTAATTCAAGCTTTCATTCGGGTGTGCTGGCAGCCCGACAACGACATGGTGTGAAAGCACGGATTCAGCATGCCTTATCTGGTCAGTCAAAGGATGACAAAGGCCTGACGAGCACGCATGGAGGTTGGATCGACAATGAAACTAAATCTGCGGAGGTTGCTCTTGGAGGGGGTATGTTCCAGTTCCTGAAGGGAAGGGAGGCAGCACCGCCTCCTCCTCTGGGTGGTGTGGGTGGCCGGGATGGGCAATCTGAAAGAACTCTTGCAGCAAAGGTCAAACTGACCCCTCATTCAGTTCATCGAGATCATCGTCAAGAACGCGCAGAGAGAGTGAAAACCGAACCCGAAGAGAGTGGCGTAAGGGAGGCCACAACTATAGGTGGCGTCGAAGAAGGCGCCGATCTGAGTCATCGAGGGGCCGCAAGCGAAGTCGGTCTGCATCAAAAGAGGAAGAGGTTGAGGACAAGAGACGAGCCAGGTCACCTTCAAGAGGTCACCTTCAAGACCTCCGCCTCATTGGAAAGTGGGCCGATTCCAGCTGGACGACGAGCAGACCTAGGGGATTCAGAGGCACTTGAGCACACTCTGTCGGTAAAGACCATGATTGCTCACCCTGTGGTTGACACACCCTCGGTTAGAAGGGTGAGCGTTCAGAACTGACATCGAAGAAGTGTGCTCACTCAGAACGGACTGAGAAGGAGGGTGGTCATCTGAAAAGACGTGGAAAAAGGGTGAGCGTTCAGAACTGATGCTGAAGAAGGGTGAGCACCTTGAACTTGGTTGTGCCCCCTGAGCCTATTGTGAAGGTCCTGAGACGAAGCGCCGCCGCGTGAACTCGCCATGTTCGGTGCCTCCCGCAACAAGCTTCTTTGAACAGTCTTTTGAAACCGATTGATGGAACTATCTATTATGCTAGCTGCGTGGAGGTTGCTTCTCTTGCTGCTCCTATACTGAGTGCGTCGACGCGTTACTGCTACCACTTCTCAGGGTTCGACCGCAATGGTATCCCGAGCGGTTTGTTTGCAAGCATGTGTGATGTGTGGGTGGTTTTCAACGGGGGTGCCACTCTGGACCGACTGTCTTAAACTCAGGTCCATCCTACGGAGAAAGATAAAGCGGGAACGATTCAGGCGCAAACCTTGCTCGTGGACCTGTGCACGTGGTTCCTCGACCGTGCGGCTTGAGTGCACGCCAAAGCCGCATGAGCGTTGACAACCACTTGTAACAGTGTACGCCAGGTACCACAGCTAGGGCCAATCGTACGAATCTCGAAACACTACCCATGAGGTCAAGGTTCGCTGCTGAAACAATGGCGCTGTCCTCTTTGGAGGGCTCAACGTATTGCCATCGCTGCTGCTGCTGTTGCTGCTAAGGGTCACAACTTGGATTGAATCCTCCGAGGTCAGTGATCTTGTCAAAAGTGGTCAGCCAGTCAGTTTTCTTGCTCGTTGGCTTTTCACGTCGGCCCCGACGCCTGCCGCGGTCTTCTGCGTGGACTACTTTGAGGAAACGAAACGAGTCTTGTTCGCCAAGTTTGCTCAAGTTTTGGGTTTGGGGCAAGAAACGCGTTCGTGAAGCGAATGCAGCAGTCGCTAAGCAGGCCCGACAGAAAGGACGCCAAGCACCTGCTCTGCCCTCTCTTCAGAAATGCACTTGGAGGAAGGAGTCGAGCCCCACCCCTGTGTCCGATCGACTGCGCTACTGCGTGGGGACAGCAGCGCTCTGCCAGCCTAGCCGCCCATGCGTCCATACTTAAAACCCTGGTTTTGTTATAACTAGTTAACTTAGTTAACATGAGTTAGCTAAAAAGTTATAACTGGTTAACATAATTGCTAACTAGTTATAACTCTAAAAAATTAAGGCTTCAAATTAAAAACACATGGTGCAGATGGTGATGTGGAAAGGTGGTAAATGTGGACTGTGTGAAGCTAAACTATGCAATTTTCAAAGTATATGATAGCCATATATAGGCTCTCCAGCTATTTTGGATCTATGATAGCCGCCCATGGCTCCCATGATTTGAAGAGCAAGCTGTGTTTTTTTCACCTCTGGCTGTAGATTTGGAAAGGTAGGAGTACTGTGGCTTCATCTTTGTCCTTGCAGAAAACTACTGGATATAAAATGGACTGAAGAAGAATCAGTCCTTGCAAGTCTGATGGCTTGAACTTGGCACATTGCTTCTCGAAGTGGCATTTCTGGAGGCACCAGGGCTGGACAAAGGTGCAATGCATTTCATGAAGAATCACATGGAACTGCACCTGGGCCACTTTCCAACTACCACCATCTGCATAGACAATGGCATCTTGAGCATGGCAATAGCCTCCCCTCTCAAGCCTGGCAACTGAAGATACTTTGGCCTCAGGGCAGGGTGTGGAAATGAATTGGCTCAATGCTGCTATTTGCTTGCTATTGGCTTGCTTGGGTTGGACGATTTGGGTTCCTTCTGTAAATTGGCCTGGCTCCCTGAGCATGGTGATCTCAGTGGCCAAAACTTGCTCCATCATATGGTGTTCATATGCCATGGTCCTTTTCAACTTGGTGGCCAGTGCACTGATGGCCTTATGCTTTCTCTCACAGGCAAAGCAATTGGGCAGTTGGCCATATCTTGCCAGAGAATCTGGCAAGTGGAGCATCCAGTGCCACTTTCGAATCATGCCAACAGATGGAAATGCTTTGTGGAAAGTGGCCAAAGACTCTTCTATGATGTGGAGAAGAGAAGCCCCTGCCAAAAGCTTGACTATGGCCTCACTGGTGCATGTGGTCACAACCGCAAGTTTGGCACAAAAGGTTTGGCGCATAGCTGCCACACAAGGGCTGTCTGGTCTTATGGAGGAGAGCTTCTGCAAATGGTCCATCTCCTTGGCAAAGTCCTCCCAAGTCCAGAACTGGGTCATGGCTCTACCACAAGTGGAACAAAAACTTGAACCCAGCTTGGGAGTTTTTTCTGACTTGCAGAAGATATACTTTGCCCAAGCATTGCATGGAGGTATACCTCCATATATGTAATTCTTTATATTAGTTGAAACAGCCAAAGAGCTCTCAAGAGATTAAATACCAGCTTTGGAAACTAATAGCCATGCAGCTCTGGATATAGTACAGCCACTGGGCTCTGAAACCATGGAGGAAAAACATGTCAGCCACATGGGCTCTAAAACCATGGCAGGAACACAGCATGACAGCCACATGGGCTCTCAAAGCATGGAAAAACAACCAACAGGCTCCAAGCACTCTTGCTGCAAAGCGAGCAGCACAGCCACTGGGCTCTGGCAAGACATCCTTGATTTTTTCCTTCTTGCTCAGGAAGACTTCTGCTTGGTCTGGCCACTCTGGAGCCATCACTTCTTGGCATGGCTGCAGCCTTGGCCTTGGCCTTCTGGAGCTGGTTCTGGAGCCAGTCCTCATGGAGCATGGTCCCACCCTGGCGCAGGGAATCCCTCCACACAGCTGGCAAGTGGCACTCTTGGCAACCTTGCGCATGAACACCCAGCTGGTGCATGGGCGCTGTTGGCCTTGGCACTGGTGTGGAGAGAGTGGCTGGAGGGAGGAAATGCATGTGAACCACATGGTCTGACTGTAGCCATGTGGCTCCATGAACCATGGAAGGAAACAACATGACAGCCACATGGGCTCTAAAACCTTGGCAGGAAAAACAGCCACATGGGCTCTCAAAGCATGGGAACAAACAAAAGCAGAGGTGGAAAGTGAACAGCCACTGGGCTCAGGTTTGCAGCGCATCTTTTTGTCACCTTCTGGGTTCCTGCAGCTGGTTTGCTTCAGGTGGGTGAGACCAGGTTCCTTGGCTGAGCAGGCAGAAAACATATATATATATATGTTTCTTCGGTGGGAAAAGATTTGGAACCAAACATTTCTTGGAGTGTGTTGTGTATACTTTGGATGAATCTCATATGGGTATTGAGTTTGGTATGAAACAGCCACTGGGCTCTATATGGAGAAAAATCAATGCAAAGCCAGGAGTCTGGCATGGAGTCTGGAAGTTCTCTGGCTAGAGGAGCAGCCAGTCTGGCATGCGGTGGTCTTCTCCTTCTCTGGCCACAATCTCCCTGTGCATGGTGACCAGCTGTGCAAAGTATGGTTCTTGCTGGTACCTGGGCCCAGGTATGTGCACAGCGCAGTTTTGGAAAGAGAAATATGAAACAGCCACATGGGCTCTTGAAGCTATAGTGTCTTCTCCAGCTATTGGTCTTTGGTTTTGGAGCAATATGGCTAGAGGCTAGATGTTTCTTCGATATCATGATAGCCATGGTTGGCTCTGCCTGTGCAAATTTGGTTGTATATATGGTTGATACTATTGTTTTACTTATTCGGATGCATATACTAAAACAATGGTGGCATGAATGACAGCCATGCTATGGCTCTTTCACAGGACCAGTTGATATATGCAATAACAGTCTGTTTGCATGACAGCCATGGAATGGCTATATATATATATATGTATATACACACATAGGCGTTTATCTAAAAAAAACGTTGGAGCTGTATGCTGCATGTATTTTGAGGGAGGGGTGTTGGGTACAATATGGCAAAATGTTTGTTGAGAAGGCTGTGGATATAATATTTTCTCCATATGACTGTGAAAATCCTATGTGTGTGTTTTCAAAGGCTTGCTTGGTCTTTTAAAAGATCTTTTGAAATCTCAATGACAGCATGTCAGCTCATGAGTTTGGGAATTTTCCCACAGGTAAAAATCAGAAAATGAACCTATAGATGTTCCTTAATTTTTGTCTTCGTGTGTGGGCCAAAATTATCTTAAATGTGGCATCATGCTCCTAGAAAATGGTTTTGGACAACATATTTTTTTGAATATTCAATGGTTTCAGCCATCTGTGCCTTTGCTTTCTGCCTTTGTCTTTTTGTTAAAAATCACGATGTTAAAAAAGCTAATTCCATCAACAAAAATTATAACTAGTTAACATCATTAACATGAGTTAGCTAAAAAACTTAAAAAGTTACAATCATATGTTAAACTAGTATAAAAGTTATGCATATTTATGCATTGTTATAACTAGTTCATACATGGTTATAATTAGTTAGTACATAGTTATAAGATTTTTAAAAATACAACTCCACCTAACACACTTAACTAGTTATAACAAAACCAGGGTTTTAAGTATGAGGTCGGCGATGGGGAGACCTTGTTCGTCAGCTCCGAGCATATTCAAAGTTTCTTCTACATCTTCAGGGTGCCAGAACATACTTCCCAGCCTTGCTCCGGACCCGGAAAAGCGCTACTACATATGCAGCCGTGTCTTGCCAATGGGGTTTTGCAACTCGGTCTCCTAAGCGCAGCGCGTCCACCGCACCATTGTAGAGGGGAGGCGGTGACGGAATGCGTTCGCCAGGAGGCGGAACGTCGGAAGGACCGGAGTTTCTCATGGAGCTATCCGTCTTTCTGAATGCGTCTGAACAATTTCGGCCCCCCTGAGAAGTTTGACCAGCTGACGGCTGAAAAGGTCCGAGGTAGTAGCCCCAGAATTTGTGGAAGCGCTGCAGAAGGGGAATGCCACACCAACCCCGCAAGGCGGTGGCCGCCGCTCCTCGCTAAGCGCCTACATCTTTGCCATCTGTTGTTGGTGCAAGGACGCTGTACTCAGAGGTCAGACGGTGGGCTTGCCAGTGCAGCCAGATTAGCCTCGTGTTGTGTGGAGCCGGGCACCTGTGTCTTCAAAACAAGGATTGGCACCTACAAAGACTTTACGCGGCAGCGCGTGCCGGGTGGTGGCCAACTGCTTCAGGTTTTTTGCTTTGACTTTTTACGCGCGTCCCACCTGTCCCGATAGCATCCTCAGGAGATGCACTCGCTCGTAAGCTGACTGGTCTCATTATTGTTGCTCCAGGCTCAGTTGGAAGACATGCAGCGTTACCATCGACTCCGCGCTCCACGCTCGAGTTTTTCGGTCCCTGAGCTGGTGACTGTGAGGTTTGGCCGCAGATGACCAGGGGACAAGGTTTTTCTGGAGGAAGAACTTAAGGATGTTCATCCGTGTGTTGCATTTCTTGATTGATTTGGCCTTGCTTGGCAAAAAAGACACGAGACGGCGGCGACTAGGAAGCCTTTAGAATCCTTTTTATATATATACACACTTAGATTAACTTATGCAATATACTTATTTGGGCACTGATGAACTTCATGTTGGAAAAACAGCAGCCACAAACCAACGAGGCCACAAACAGTGCGTTCGACCCGTTGCAGTATGTTTAGCCATGCAAAGCAACACATTGACTCGGCAATCGCAAACTAGCCATTCAGGAAGGGGAGGCAGCAAAACTCACTGATGAGTCCGACTCTGCACCTATCAAAAAGGTGGGCCCGAAAGATGTGATGAGGATCTTGCCCAACTTGCCAATGTAGGGATTAAACCACAGCAACCACAGCACCAGTCCATCAAGGGGTCTTCATTTTTCTGCCAGGCTTCCCAGGTGCTGGGCCTGGAGCTGGAGGCAGCATTGCAACGGCATGAACATGCATGAAATGAGAGACAAATGACGAGTTGACGATGAACCTGATGTTTTTGTTCTTGCGCTTTGTCTCCCGAAGTCTTACAATGACATCAGTGAAAACTTGTGCGCCTTAGTCGCTCTAGAGACACCGGTGACAGTTGCGTGTGCCACAGTGCCCATGGTGCCCGCAGTGCTGAGGCCTTGAAATCAGCTTTGCTGAAACGCCTGATCAAAGTCGGCGCTTTGTTTGCATGAGACTGTATATTTCATAGTTCTTTAAAACATCTAAGGCACAGTCGACAAACACAGGAATACTGCCAAACGACATGGTAAGCACTCACTCATGGCAAAGCATACATGTTGTGATCATCTAAGATGACACGCACAAATCAAGAAGCTTGTACATGAGACCGCAACTTTGCCCGAGCAGAAAAGCTTCGCACGGTAGCGGAGCCTGAGAAGCCAATCCCGTAGGGATTGGTGGAGGCTCTTGTTTTTTTTCATTTGGCGCCATAGGCCCTTTGCCCGCAGTGGACTACATCCTAAGGTTGAAGAAGGTCCCTGAAGTTGAGATTGGTGGCCATGGCTGGAGTTGGAGAAGCTGGAGCTTCGCCTTCCTCTGCGGCAGGAGGTGGAGAAGGGCGAGAGATCGCCATGAGGATGATCCAGGCAGCTGAAGCGGCTGCTCTGGCTGCGCAATCGGCCGCGGATGCCCTCAGTCGACGGCAAGGTGGAGAGGAAACTTGGTTTAAGGTTTTGCCAAAACCCTCACAGCTGGACGCAAAGACCAGGGAGGAGGAACTATCTCAATGGAGGGATTTCAGTTGGGGCCTTGAGCAATATTTGTCCTCCCGAACGGCATGTTCACAGAAGATTTCAAAGATATCAGGGCAAGGCCAGACAACCCGATCGACTCCAGCATCCCTCTGATGAGGAGAAGCAACGAAGCAAATTTTTGTATTCACTGCTAGCATCCCTTGTGAAGCAACGCCCTCTCGCCATGATCCGCCAGGTGAAGGAGTCCAATGGCATGGAGGCCTACCGCCTCTTGATCCAAAGCCTCGAGCCCACCTCCAAGAATCGTGCATTAGGTCTGCTGACCATGATCTTGGAGTGGAAGCCCTTCGACATGAGGAAAGGAGGCATTCTTGGACAGCTCCTACGCTTGGAAGAGGCCTTTGTGGAGTATGAGAAAACGGGTTCAAAGCTGGAAGACAACATCCGCTTTGCAGTCTTGATGAAATGCATCAGCGGACAGCTCAAAATGTGGCTCCAGCTGAACGTTGCCGAGTCCCAGGATTACCAGAAGCTCCGAGAGGCCATCGTGCAGTATGACAACGCGACGATGAAGTGGACGAATGTGATGATGCTCGGAGCTGATCCTGGAGGCGGAGAAGGTGTGGTGCCGATGGAGATTGACCGCATCAAAGGAAAGGGCAACGACTACAGCAAAGGCAAAGGCAAGGGCAAGGACTTCGACAGGAAGGGCAAAGGCAAAGGCGAGCCGAAAGGCAAGAGCAAGGGCAAAGGCTATGGAAAATCCCAGGACTTCGGCGGCAAATCCCAGCAAAAGAGCGCTGGCAAGGGAGAAAGCCAGAAAGGTCAAAAAGGCAAGTCAGACCAAAAGACTTGCTTCACCTGTGGCAAAGCAGGACACTTCTCGAAAGATTGCTGGCAGAGGCTTCGACAGGTGAGTGAAGAGTCTCCCAATGCCAAACCGAGCGCAGAAACTGGGACGGTGGCTTCGAGCACTACCACTTCGAGCCAAGGTGCAAGCTGGAAGTCTGGGTCAGTGAAAAGAGTTGAAGGAGTTTCACAAGTTGAATTCGAGAATGAGCCCATGGTTTTTGACTTGAGGCCAATGTCGATGCCGAGCACAGCTGGTAGACAGATCAGAATGGTACAGTTTTTCTCCATCTCTGAAGAGCACGAGCCCAATGACGACCACGTTCAGGAGATCTACCACATCATGGCTGTGCGAGGGCATCAGAATTGCATGCGAGAAGAGGATCAAGTAAAGGTGATCATCGATTCAGGAGCTGATGCAACCATCCTTCCAAGCTCCTACTTGGATATTGGCACCGAGCTGGATGAAGGCGCACCCAAGCTTCAAGATGCTCAAGGAGTACCAATTGAGGTGCGCGGCTACAAGCAGGTCTGCTTCATTTTCAAGGCAGACAACGACAAGGAAGTGCAGATCTTCGACAAGGCCCACTTCTCAGATGAAATTAGCCAACCCATCATTTCGTATGGAAAGTTGATGGAGGCAGGCTGGAACATAGAAGCGGGGCAGATGAGTGGAGGCCAACATTCCATGACGTTTGGTCTAGGGCACAATGTTGTGAGGATTCCACTTCAGCTGCAAAACCGTAGTTTGGTGGCCACTGGACATCTACGCACAGTGGTTGAGAAGCCTGCAGGTCCTATGATGGTGAGAGTGCTGGAGGCCAAGCTCTTGGACGACCTCCAGATGAAGGCGAGATACCAAGTTGGTTGGAAGCAAGTGGACAACCGATGGGTTGGAGTACATCTGGCCAAGAAATTCCAGACACCACAGTTCGTGGGCGAGATTCCTTCGACTACAGATTGGAGGCGAACCACGCTGGTGAGAGTGAAAGGTCAGTGGCAACTCTATGAGATGTGCGAGAACCTACATGGACTTGCAGATCAGGAGGAGGAGATTGAGAATGTCGAGGACAACACCTTGATCGTGACCATCCTCACTCCTGAGGAGGTGAGTACTGAGGAGATGGGATTTGAAGTAGAGACGGGTCTTGATTTGAGGCCAAGAGTTGAGCCAGGTGCCATGGCATTGAGGGAGCACGAGATCCCGATGGAAGAGCCCCAGAGGCTTCAGGAGACAGAAGATGATGGTGCAGAAGCAGTTGATGATCGAGCAGCTGTTGAGGTGGCAGTTGCTGGTGATGGAGCAGCAGCTGATGAGCAAGAAGGCCGTTTGGTGTTAGAAGCTGGCTTGCCGGACCATGTGATAGTGAATGACATTCAGTTGACAGCAACAAGCAAACTCAGAGAACTCCGAGCAGCCTGTCACTTTTATGGCATCAGCCAGTCAGGCAGTCGGCTGAAGTGCTTTCAGAGAATTGTGAGCCATCTCAAAGAACGTGAACTGAAGGCGGCATCAGAAGCAGTTGCAGCTGCAGAGTTACAGATGGCAAGACAACCAAGGATGCAGAACATCATTCCGGTCCCTTCGCAGCAGGTGCAAGATCTTCATGCACTCACACACGTGCCATATCAGCAGTGGTGCGAGGTCTGCTTGAAATACCGAGGAAGGCCGGACAGACACCTGAGGACAGGATCTTCTCACACTGGTGGCATCCCCATTATCTCTTTGGACTTTGCCTACACCAAAGCTGGCGAAGTGGACAGGGCACCCACCGTTCGAGATCCAGGCCATGATCCTGATGATGATGGAATGGCAATCGACCTCTATGACCAGGAGGAGCAGCCAGAGGCTAGAGAGCCCAGGATCAAAGAGCTAAAGTCATCTTTCTGGCTGATCATGGTTTGCAGTCAAACAGGAAGCTTGGGAGCCGTTCCCCTCCAATCGAAAGGACAATTGAACCTCATGGCTAGAGAGATCATGAACTTCGTCCAGAGTTTAGGCCATGTTGAGATTGGACTTTATGGGGACAACGAGCCGACAATTCGCTCCCTCCTCCGGATTCTTTTGAATAGCAGGCGTGCTATGGGACTTCGAACTCGCTTGTACACCACAAAGGTGAAAGATTCGGCAGGCAACTCCCTTGCTGAGAACGCCATCCAACGAGTACGAGGCCTTACATGCACATTGATGGGTGAGGTTATGGCAAAGACTGGTCAAGCTTACAATACCAACCATGGATTGTGGAGTTGGGCGGCGCGTCACGCATGCTGGCTGTTGAACAAGTTTCAAGCAACAAAGGGCATCACAAGTCATGAACTGGTCCACGGCAAGACCTACAATGGAGCTTTGGTTCCTTTTGGATGCCCAGTGTATGCTTTTGTGAAGCCCCAGTCAGGTAAGGGCAACCCTCGATGGCGGATGACCCTATTTCTTGGAAAGACTGAAGGTCAAGATTCCTGGATCGTGGGAGATGGCAGCCAAGTCATGCTGACCAGGTCTGTGAGAAGAGTGGACCGTCCATGGAAGAACTTCGGAGCCTATTACCAGAACTTTGCCACCTTCACCTATGAGTATCAGATCAACTTTGGTGGGCGCATTGTTCCTAGCAAGCGAGCAGCAAGTGCAGTTCCACTGCAACTTGGTCCAGCACCTCCTCGAGATGAAATCCTGTTCAGATATCGAGATGAAGAAGCTGAGGAGGTGGAACGCTATGCATTGTCCAAAGAGGGCCAGGAGGAAAGCCAAAGGGAAATAGATGAGGCCCGTGAGCCTGATGCACCAGCAATGATTGCAGAGGCTGGAGAACCAGCACCATCAGCCCCACAGAGAGGAGAGCCCAGTGGAGGATTGCTGACACCCCCAGCTCTTGGAGATCAACCTGGGGAGAGGGGCGCAGGAGGAGAAGTTCCAATGGTCATTGAACCGCTTCTTTGGGATGAGGACGCACTACCTCCTGAAGGACGAGTTCTGAAGAAACTCCCTCCTCCAGAATCTGCAGTCAGGGCCGAGCCAGAGGCCAAACGGGCGAGAACAGAAAAGCCATCAGAAGGAGGAGCAAGCGCATCTGGACATCAGCAACTCGTTGAGCGAAGAGTGGAGAAGGTGTGTGTTGGAGGAGACACCATGTACCACCTGGACGAAGTGGTGGATGTTGAGACGATGGCCATTGAAGAAGGAGAAGAGGACGTTGAGGACCTGAAACCTGGTGCCATCCCTGAAGAGCTTTGGAGTGATGCTCCCTTGACGAAAACACCTCCTGATCCGAGTTGGGAGGTGGATCTCTTGGCGAACAAGGTGGAGGAGCAGAGATTGATGAGGATGGATGTTATGGAGAAGCTCAAACCAGAGGATGCTCATTTGGACAAGCTCACCACCCGCTTTGTCCATGATTGGAGGATCAAGCCCTATCCACAACCTGATGGAAAGTCAAGGAAGCGTTGGTTGAGGAGAGCGAGGCTGGTAGCCAGAGAATATGCAAATGATCGATGCGATGAAGTCTATAGCCCAGCTTCAGGACAACACTCTCTTCGACTTCTTCCTGCATTGTTCCTGAACAACATTGTGGTGAGTCAGGGCATTGATGGAGAGCAGGGACCGCCAGTGTTGGGTGCACTTGACATAAAAGATGCATTCTTGCAGGTTCCCCAAGAACGACCTCTTCAGATCACGACCAATACTGGCTACTACAAGGTCCTCAAGAACATTCCCGGTCAGAGGATTGGAGCAAAGGCATGGTATGAGTTCTTGAGAACTTACCTTGAGGAGGAGCTCAACTTCGCCTTTGACGTGGTGAACCCATGCCTTGGAAAGAAGGGCACGGACAGTGAACTGATCTGTGTGCTGGTACATGTCGATGATGTGATGTTCACTGGAAGGCAGAAAGCTGTGGACGCCTTTGTGTGCAAATTGAAGGAGAAGTTCGAGGTGGAAGTGTCCATGGTAAGAAACTACAACGATGAATTCGCCTTCCTGAAGCGCAAGTACATCTATGTCCCAGAAGGTTTGTTAGTGAAGCCTGGACAATATGCCACTAAAATGATCAAGACCTTCGAAGACAAGTATGGCCCTGTGAGGAGACAAAGACTTCCTGCCACTTCAGACATCCAGGATGCCGATGGATCCAATGTTGTTGCCCCAGAGCACGCGTCAGTGTATCGTTCCATTGTTGGCATGGGCATCTACCTTTCACAAGAACGCCTGGACATCAGCTTCGTTGTGAAGGAGTTAGCAGGAAAGATGTCAAACCCCACGGAGTTGGCCATGCAGAAGGCAAGGAGGTTGGTTGGGTACCTCAAAGAGACGGAAGAGCAACATATCCTTCTACCCCTTCCAGTTCAAGGAGAAGGACTACATGGTCACAGCCATGAGACTTGGTTGCTTGAGAGCTTCACGGATGCTGACTGGAGCGGCAACCGAGGAACAAGGAAGAGCACTTCGTCTTCGATTCATGGGTTGAACGGCAGGGTGATCTACACCACCTCCAGAGGCCAGAAAGTTGTCAGCCTCTCGTCGGCAGAGAGTGAGCTACATGCATTGGTGGCTGGCGCATGTGATGGCATATGCATCAAGCACGCCTTGGAGTTTTTGACAGGAGATCCAGTACATCATGTTTGCTGGGTCGACAACTCTGCCACCAAACAGATTGCCAACAAGCGTGGAGCTGGACGACTTCGCCACATCAGTGGCAAACTCCTCTGGTGCCAGAATAAAGTTGCAGAAGGCACGATGGAGGTCAAACAAATCAGTACCACACTGAACCTGGCCGACATCGGCACGAAACCACTTTCGAAAGCACGGCTCAGGCTATTGCTCTACTTGTGCAACGCCAGGAATGGAGATGGAAGCCGCGTCGGTGAGCAAGAGTACCAGGACTTTGAGAAGAGCCACGTCGAGAAAGGGAAGATCATGAGAATGGCAAAGTACCTCAACAGGATTATTCTCCTGAGCGGTCTTGAGCTGGCCGCGGGCAACAAGGTTGAGGAGAACTACATTGAGATCAACTATATGTTCCCCTTCCAGTGGTGGCTTGGCCTGGTCATCTTCGGCTTTCTGATGTTTGCCATCATGTTCCTATGGAGCAAGGTTCAAAGCCTGGAAAAGAGGGTCGCATTCCTACAGCACCGAGTCGAAAGGTGTGAACAAGCCCACAAGGACAACATTGAGCAGATGGACAAGGAGAACTCCATGACTGCAGACTACGTGGAGCGAGTGCACCGAGGGCTGATCAAGCTTGGAGGGCATGTAGAAGACCCATCAGTTCAGCGAGTTGAATGGCAAAGCCTGAACTACATCCAGAAGATCAACACGTGGCACGAGGGTCTGGAGCTGAGAGAAAGGTGGAAGAAGATGGAAACGATTCAACAAGAAAGAGGAGAGCAGCTTCCTGGTGCCGGCATTGTCAACATTGATGTTGATCCTGGAGAACCCGGGCTAAGTGGAGAGACGGCAGTCATCATTTTGGATGGCGGCCGGATTGTGCAGGTCCCAGTGGAGTATGTCGAGCCGGCAGGTGGTGAGACAGCAAGAGATCAGACTGGTGACACATCGATGGTGGAACCAGAGCCTTCACCGGGAGAAGATGAAGTACCAGATCACGAGATGGAAAGTGAGCGCGAAAGTGCGCCTGAGGTTGTAGATGCTGCATGGGAGCCGGAAAGCATTAGGATTCCGGACGGACAATTTGTCCATTTCAATCGGGCATACAATCGTGCAGACTTGATTGCCCGAGAAGAGCTTCTAAAGATGGAAGCGAATTGGTTTCATGGCCATAGAAATGGCACAAGAGCTTTGATGGACGAAATGCAGGATTTGATGAAGGAATCCGTGCACCATGTCCACAATTTCTATCCCTAGAGGATTTGTTGGCTTGAGATTCGAGCCTCAGCAAGCCAAAGGAGGAGTGCCAAACGACATGGTAAGCACTCACTCATGGCAAAGCATACATGTTGTGATCATCTAAGATGACACGCACAAATCAAGAAGCTTGTACATGAGACCGCAACTTTGCCCGAGCAGAAAAGCTTCGCAAATACACAATTTGTTCAACTGATTCTTCCGTTCCACAGTCCATGCCCGTGTTGTTTTTTGTGTTTACTTTGTACTTATGAAAGCTTTCGCACAGGAGCAGACTTTATCAGAAATTTTATCATTGTTGCAGAATCTTAGCAGGTTCAGTTTGGTCAACCAAGGTCCAAGATTTGTAACCTTTCTTAAACGGAGATCAATTGATTCTTTTGTGTTGCTTGAAGCCTTGTCAGACATGAGGAAAGGATGTGACGGCAAAGCCTCGCACGGCACCGCAAGCCCGCGCTACGGCTGACGCAGTGGCACGGCTATTGCTTTGGGCCCAGTGTATGGATTGGACATCCCGGGGGGTTCAGGCAAGACTGGAGCATTGAGTTAAGTCAGTGGTGTGTTTCTCGGCTTGAGTGACACTGTTTCCTGGCAGACACTTCCTCAAGGCGTTCCTTTATGAACTTGGCGGAATATGTGTACACAATGTGGACAAATGTACAGTTACAAGTTGCATCATTTAGGCATTGTAATTAGCCGTCAAGCTGCTCAAAAGAACGCGAAAGGAGGGTATGGGCGTCCGCAATGCTGGGTAAACTGCCTGTGAATCAGAGAAATTGTGTTTCCTTTTCGTTCTTCACAAATTGTCAGCTATGGGGTAGTGCTTTAGTTGACTACCTTGACGATATGTGGCAAGCGCTTGGGGTGCAAAGTACATTGGCCGATTTCTTGGTGAGCGTCGTGCCTGTTGCTTGCCCAGACAACAGCATCGTGCTGTCTGCCATTGATTTCCATCCATTTTCATGGGCCGCTTTGGGCATCATGTTCTGCAGCTCTGGACTCATCTCTTTGCGTGCGAAAAGATACCGATACCAGCCACAACGTCAAGAGTTGGCCTTGGATGCTTCAAGGGTGCTGCTGTTGTCAAGTGTCGTACAATGCGGTGCATGTTTCTTGGAACACGCACGACTCATGGAGCCTTTAGCCATCTCCTTGCATTTGTCATCACCATTTCTGTTTTTTCGATTCCTGGGAGATAGCCTTATTCTCCCACATTGGGTCACGAGCATTGGCAGGGGCATGGGAAAAAGGCGGGCTAAGCTGACATACTGCTACAGCGCCCTTGGAAATCTATTCCAGGTAGCAGCGGTATTCTTGATGGAAAGCAGGCATTTATCTGAGTTGCTATTGGTCCCAGCTGGCGTTTGCATGGCCATAGCATCCTTTAGAGTTTCGCAGTGGTATCCAGCCCAAGCAGATCTCAAAGCCAGCAGCTACTTGCTCGCCCTTTACATGCTGTCAGGGGTAATTATTGAAGCGCTGGGCGTGTCGCATGAAATAGGCCAGGAACAGATGCTCGTGGAATTTGCAATCTTGGATGTTGTGGGCAAAGTTCCGAGCTGCCATTTGTTCACACGTGGCTTGACCTTTCAAGATATTGACGCTGCAGATGCCATAGATGCCTTTCGACACCTTCAAGATCGACTGGAACTGGACATTCCCTATTTGGAGTTTGAAGGCCAGGAGGAGTAGCGAAGTAGCGGGAAGAGCACAGCATGCAGCAGCGCCGGGCATTTTGCCAGGCGGGTGGATTCAAGAGATATGTGGGATCTTGTACAATTTGAATGACTCAAAGGTATCAGTTGGTCCAGACTCGTGTTTTGACCACAACTGCACCAGTGCCTACGCTTTTCTTGGTGCTGTCACAATTTCTGCATTCCGTCCCATCACTTGACCCATTTTTATTCATTTTCTGAAAGTAATGAGGAAAGTCAGCTTCTACTTTGCAGAATGGTTTTCTCAAGCAGCCAGCAAAGCACTCAATTCATTCAATGTTATTGCTAGATATTGCCAAACTGTCACGTTCTAACTTTGCGGATACGGTCCCCAAACAGTTCGCTCCGATTGTTCGCGCACCTCGCATTCTTCGGACGCAGATGGGAAGGAAGCGTGGCCAAGAGGGCTTGAAGTTCCTCGACAAGCTTGCCTTTCTCAGGCTTTAGAAGCCCGCAATGGAGCATTTCACGGCTTTGTAAAAAGGCACCCGATTTTGCTTAGAAGTCTGAATGGATTTGTTTATTGATGATGCAGTGGTGTTATGCTGTGTTCCTGTTGTCATGACCTCGCCTGTCCACAGTACTCACCACGACGCTCAACCTCTGATTTGTATCTCAGGTATGGGCGCTTATTCAAGTGGCTGATCAAGTGTATTAATACCACCTTGCCCTGAACCTATTTTGACAATGTTGCACTTTAAGCATATATTGAACATTGTGAATATACCTGAATATTGTACAGCAACCGGACGTGTCAAGAATAGGAGCTTCGCTCATGCATGTATATATTCGATTTATTAGCGATAAAACATCGATAAACCATTTTGAACATAGATACTGAGATACTATATATGTTGAGCCAATTACAGCTAATTGTTGTTTCAAGTGGTCCCTCACTCTGCAGCACTTGCAATAGTCAGCTCTTCGCTATTCTGCAGTAATTGGTTAGTCATGGTTAGTGTTGCTGGGTCGAAAGCATGCCTCCGCAATCAAAGCTCCGACAAGGTCTGAATCAAAGAAAACTAGTGGGCAATTCTTTGGAGTGCTCGACATTGTTGGTTGCCCAGCAGAAGCGGGAGCTGACATGTAGGTTTTTATGCGACAACAGACAAGCTGAATGCAGCGGATCGTCTTGTTTCAATTACTTCCCCATGCTAAGTAGATCATGTATATCTAAGTAGTATCTACATCTTAATACCAGCAAGCTGGGTCATGTACAGTATATGATATGAGTATGAATCAATTATATAATATGACTATTTTGTTTGAAGCTAAGGCAGGTTTTGAGAGCTTCGAGCAGAACTCGTCATGAGCTCAGAATTTGCAGAGCTGGCCATGATGTCTTTTCTGAGAGAGCTAGCATATCCCTGACCCAGGCTCGAGCAGCTGTTCATAAATCTCAGCAATGAGTGCAAAACCCAGCTCCTGCGGCACTTGAAACTGAAACTGAAGTGCGAGAGAGTGAAGCATTGACATTTTTCCGAATGCCATAGCTGGCAAAAGGATAGGCACTCCTGCTGATCTGAACGATCAGGCATCTTCAGCAACATTTCAACAACCACATCTTCAAGATGGAGCTGGATGACTACAAAGCTGAGGGAGTGTCTGCCGTGGCCTCTTGAAGTAGACTTGATGAATCTGGATGAACTGGATACCCACATTATCCCCCGCTCGAAAAAAGGCAAACTGCTAGGCAAAAGTTCTATGATGTGAACAATGCGAACGCAGTTTGTTTTAGGGTGGTGGGGACGACTGTCAAACTTTGACAAGACAGGATTGGAAGGTGAACCCAGAGCTTGCTGGAGGAGAGCGAAAACATGTTGCTGGAGGAGGCAAATGTCGATGTATAAGGGCTCTTGTGATGCGAGTGATGCCACACCTGTTGATTGGGCATGACGGCATCTTTTGCATCACCAGCTGCGCATGACGGCATCTTTTGGAGTGCTTTGGCAAACATGTCGGCTCCAGTGTGAACACATTATGCTTATAATATAATGTAATCGTATTTTCGTTTTTAATGTCCCTCGAGTGAAACTATGCATGAAGTCACGCGTGAAGCGAAACGTTGTGTGAATTACAGAGATCTTGATCTAGAGTCGAAGAAAAGCCCTCAAGCCGTCTCGGGGCAAAAAAGAGCACCTCTGAGTGACTGGGTGGTAGCACTCGTGTCGGGATAAAAACAATTGGCTACGCCGCCGTTGGCGGCACTGAATAATTGGCAGTTTTTTTTGTTTTTTTTTGGGCCCCGAGCTTTTGGGGGTCGCAGTGCTTCACTTGAGTCAGTTGAGGGGGCCTTTGGGGGGGTTCGATGTTTTTCTCCAGGCATAGGGTTCACCAGTCTCTGTTCTAGCGGGAAGGCCTTCAACACGGCCAGCGCAAATTGTCAATGCAGGTATGAAAAGGCACTGTGGGGTACAGAGACTAGATGCAGAGAGTTGAAGAACAATCCTGAAGCCGCACTTTTTGGGTTGGTGCGTCCGTGTTGTGTTTGAGAGCCGCCTCCGGGCAAAAAAGGGCTCCTCTGAGAAAGTGGGTGCCAGCACCAAATTAACAGAAAATATCACAAGGTGAGGTGTGCAAAAGATGAGTCTTGTTGGTGCCCTCTTGTGCTTGGGTTGAAGGCTGTCTGGGGCAACACCGGGCACGTCCGAAAAGCAGGCTCTAGTGATAAGACCTTGAAGAAGCACGACATAGCCGATGCACCTTGGAGCGTTCTAAATCTTGCCGCCGGCTGGCTTTTGTCCCCTTGCCTCTCAGGTTTCCATTTTTCCAGCCCGCCTTCGGCCAATTAAGTACACCTTTTCTTAATTAAGTATGGCCAGTAGCAGAAGGTAAACTATTACATATTAAAATCACAGCGGTCACGGTATCCCATAAAACGTTTTATGGTCTCTGCCCAGGGGGGCGCGGGGGTTGGATTTTGCTGCTTGTATCCAAGAAACGTACACGTCACGTGGGCCACACAATGCATGGCTCAAACCAGATATGTCAAGAGTTAACCAAATTTCTTCTCAATCTGTGAAAGAGGCACATGGTGACCTGAGGTTGAATGATTTTATAGAGACCCATCTGGGGTAGGGCCTGCTCACTTTATACTCCCTAGGGGGTGACCACCACGATTTCATATCTATAAAATGATTGTCACACCCCATATACCCACATATATACTATTACCTACTGGGCGCAGGAAAGCTCTACTGTTCATGCTGCTCCTAGATTTTTGGGGAAACTTGCTCTTCGTGTAGCGTGTTAGTAGATCAAACCTTCACTTGGCTTCTTATCTTTCTGCTGCCTTTCTCCGACTCGTTTACTTCTCAAAAGCACGAGCCTGACAAAGAGCTGCTAGGGTTCATCTGGCGCATTCTGGGGGAGTCCTAAACAAGGAGCTGCCTGCTCCCAGTAGTCGCTGTTTTGTTCTTTAGGCGACGCACCGCCTCAAGCATGCAGGCCATACCGTACCTCCTGTTGTTGGAAACTACCTGAGACCTGAGCTGTTGAAACTTCCGTTTTTCTTCAATTAAAATCGGTTTCAAGTTCACCACACACTTGTGCCCCTGCACAGTGCTGGGGTGATGGTTTCAAAGGTGGACCCTGTTGTTTTAAGGTGCTTCGCGCAGTCTGCTAAATGTTGTTTTCGTAAGCTTTCATGGTGGTTTTCAGCGCGCGCGCGAAAGAGGGAGAGAGAGACATGCACAGACACATGAGAGGTACGAGAGGTAGAGGTATGGAGAGACGCCCGTCAGACAAAAGCAACAAACGAGAGCATTGCGGCACACATCAAGCGCTCAGTTCTGCCGTTAGAATTATCATGTTAGTTGATTTCTTGGTCTCGCCCGGAGAGAGCGTGTAAGAGCAGATAGACATTGTATACGGTATGCTGTTGTCACATTGAGACGGTGCCTGGTACAGTCAGAGTTGCTGACTGTACATGTCCTTGAGCTCCTGGTTTGCTTTCTGAATATTAAACACTGTAGTCTGTAGTATTGAGAGTCGGAAAACGAAATACGTTGTTTGTGAGATGAGGTTGATGCCGGGCTCACTTTCAATGACAACTCAGACATCGTCACCCTCATAGATTCCAAAGGCAGCCTTCTGCTTCTGTGCGCTAGGCGCTAGGTTTGAGCACCGCCGCCTTGATTCGCAGTCTCAGAGATGAGCTTGGCCAGGTGGTATTCTCTCAGTCCTCGATGAAGAAGTTTCGATGCCAAAGGCCAGGAGTGAGCGATTTTTTGCGTGTTTTCCCCGATCAGGAACTCTAGGGATTCTTACCTTGCAAAAGGGTGAGCCGCGGCAATTTCTACCAGATGGGCAACAATTTCTCAGGCTCCCAGAACGAGATCCGTTAGAGTTGTTCATCTGGAGCGCCGTTTCACAGCTGCCGGAAAGAGGTCTCATGATGTCCAATACATCCCCTGTAAAATTTCATCTGCAAACTTGGTCCACGTTGGTCTTGAAAACGGTCATGTTGTAGAGTAAACTTACACCAGCATAGACCCAGAGAGCTATAAGGCAGAATCCCACGACCTGTTGACATGCGACTGGCTGGAGCAAGAATGCGCGCAGCCTGCGCAGCCAGCTTACGGCACCTCCACAGCGCGCGCGACCAGCTGACACCAGCACCGGTTCGCTTTGCCAGCTGACAACACCGGCAGCGGCGCCAGCGCCCGACCAGCGCCGCCGCCCGTCTTAAACGCGCGCTCAGCCAGCTCACAGCACCACCACCCAGGACCACAACACCAGCGCCAGCACCGACACCCTTTCGAAAGCGCGCGCAGCCAGCTCATTCTTTTGCAGCAAGAACCCCATATATATCCCTTTTGGGGGAATAACGACGTATGATCTTGCGCGTATAAGTTTACGCGCGCAAAAGTACGCGCGCAAACAGCAAAGCCCGTAAGTGTCATTGGCCCAAGGCCAAGCAGTATGCAGCGCCACTATTGACTGAAGCAACGATCTGTAGAACGATATGGCCGTATG